TGGTCAGAAGGGAGAGGACTGATGCAGTGTGTAGGGCATCTGGGGACAGGTATGGAAACTGCTGTGCTGGCGAGCTGTCACACCTCATAAATTAAAAGTGTTGATGGACAACTTTAGTAATATTCTTGGTTGAAAGGGTGTGAAATATCTAAAATGGATGTATTTGGTAAATACTAGTCTAGGTCAATCTATTAAACAGATTTTCTATAACTGCATGCACAATCTTTTAAAGACGGGAAGGGCAAATATTTGATATTTGGATAAATAAGGTTATGAAAAAGCAGATGGTTATAAATCAAAATTATATGTAGCAATGAATAACATCTTATATTGGGAACAGTAATCTAGTTGATAGGAATATGATGAATTTCAAACATGTTTAACTTCTGATTGTGTTAAGTTTTCTTAAAAATAATTTAAAATATGTATTTAGTTATTACGGTGCCTCTAGAAATTTTGAGATGAACTTGAGTTCCCACAAGTCTGCTGCATGTCTGTATTTTTATATGTTGACTACTGTCTCAGAGGCAGTGGTGCCAAGATGCCCTCTAAAGATGAGGCATCAGTAACAATAGGCACTGGGGGGAAAAAAACCTGTCAGTGCTTAATCCAGATGTTTCCAACAGAGGTATATCGTAGAACACAATTGAAATCTTAGTGATACCTCTTAATCTTGCTATTTTCTCTGAGGTTTTCACGGCTTTCTTCACTTTGTCTTTCAGAATACGTGCTTTTTGCAATATAAAACCAATTCTTTGTGTCTTAGAAGCCTGTTGCTTTTTTTAAAAATTCTGTTAATGAAATAAGCCCACACGTTATAGTGTTGTCTTTGTTGGAGTTGACAAGCCACGCTCTTTCTTCCTATCTAACAGCAGCAGATCCACTCCTCAAACCTGTAATTCTGTAACTCTACATACTGCAGAAAATAGCTTTTTGGTTGTGCAGAAATATGCACGAGCTCATTCCACTGCTTTGTTCTTTTTTCTTTTTATGTAACAGGTTGGTTGTTGGAGCCAGCTGTATCCTTGAAAAATCTGTGATGATTTACGATTACAAGCAGCATAGCTGTCTGTCCTATGAAAGCTCAGTCTTTGGAATTTCTTTGTTCATGCCCTCTGGTTGAGTTGGTAATAGAATAGTAAGAGTTTTCTACGCAGTAGCATCATGGGAATTAAGGTCAGCTGAGGATAAATTCTCAGGATCTTAAAAACAATGTTATCTATGAGGAAAATATTCTGAGGCTTTGGAGTTCTATTCTGTGCAACAAAAGCAAGCGAAAGATGTTGGCTGTGAGAGGAGAACTTGATATTTCTAGATAAAAAGTCCACTTCTGTACTACCCTTTTATATTGCATTTATATGCAATCACTGTTTATGTTTCCTTAACTGATGCTTCGCCAGATGTTTCACTTGAGTGTGCTGGTTTTCTAACGGGCATTGGATTGGACACTACAGTCATGATGAGAAGTATCCCACTTCGTGGGTTTGATCAGGTGAGTACGAAGTATCTTGCGTCTCTGTATATATCAAATATATTAAAAAGTATATTTGGTTATTTTTGTCACCTAAAGAAAAGGTATAATTGGCTTCTCCAAACATTTCATAGTGTGTGCTTTCTGAAGAGAAACTAAATAAATATTAGCTCTTGTTTTCTTATCATATCTTTTGATACTGTAATCAGAAAAGTAAATTTATTTTTTTTACTTTTGCTTAACTGAAAACAAGATTGAAAAGGTTGGGAAGCAGAGGAGGGATTTATGCCACTGCTTAAAACATTAGACAATCTCTTTAAAATAATCCTGACTTTCTAGGAGTTACAGATAATTGTTTTTAAAATAAATTATTGGACTTAACATGAAGTTGTTAAATGTGGAGTTCATTATGATTAATATAAATAAATCACTAAGCTGAAAGTTTGTAATGTCATAGGAATTGGAAATCTTGATCATAGCACTCAAAACCGTGGTGGTTATAACTAGGTAAAAACATACATAGACATTTCAGTGGAACTATCAACCCTAAGCTGGAGAAAATTAAAAGCAAAAATTTCCAGTCAGGGAAATTTAAAGAGAAACATCTGTCTTTCAGAATTGGGTAAGATTCAGAGGAGTTTTATTTAAAAGTATAAGTGGTCATGATTGTGCTGACAAAACAGATAACAGTTTTGGCCAGAAACCCATTCCTGTATAAAGAGAATGAAAGCGATTAGAAATAACTTCAAGAAAAGGCAACCAAAAAAAATAGGTTTTACGTAGGATTTGTAAGAAGTATAACTGCCTGAAGAAGCAATAGAAGGTAGTATAGGAGGTTTGGGTTAAAGAGAATTTACTGAGTCCAGTTAAGGCATTACTTGGATGTGAGTTTGTAGCCTCTGTTCTACAGGTTAGATGATCTCTGGCCCAATAGTCCTTTTGGTCCCTAGATCTGCAGGGAGAGTACATTACATTAAAAGTGATTGTGAATCTTTGATCCATGCAAGATTTGATGCTAACACTACTTTGAAGGAAAAGTTTCTGTAGTGCTCTTAAAACAATGAGAGAGTTCTGGGTTTTCACTCACATGTGCAGTGAACTTTTTCTTTGAAGATTCCAACAATATTTTTTTCAGAAAAATAACTATGGAAAATATCAGCGTCAAGAATGAAGACTGTGTTGTGTTAATCACTTGAAATAGTGTTTTCAGAAAGGGACTGAATGCACATTAACTTACTTATTCCTAGTGTCGTGATTCAGGATATTGTCATAATGCTTAGTGCAATGGTGCAAAATATTTACAGGGCAAAGTTCATGAAAGAGTGCTAGAGCCATCGGCTTGTTTTTAAGAACTTCTTTGCATACACAGAGCGTAGGAAAACTATTTCCATGTGTAACAGCACCGTTTTTGAGGAGGGAGTGTTGCTGTTAGAAGCAGCAGTGACAAGTACCGCTGCAGGTAGTGACAGCTCCTGGTTGCATGCCAGCCACTCCCACTTCGAAGTGGCTTCCTTAAAACTGGTGGTGTGTGTACCAGAGTTTGCAAAACATTGTACAAGAGTGTGTCTTGGGATTTGCACTCGTCATTGAAGAAATCTGCACCTGTAACAGCATGACATCTGAGCAAGCAGGGAACGGTGTTAAGACTGCGTGTGTGGCACTTCATAAAACACAGTAGGGCTTTCTCTGAGAACTTGATCCTTTGTAGGCAGGAAGAGCACAATGGATATTTCAGAGTTAAGGAAGTATTAATAGACATAAAAGAATTATGTTCAGTCTGTAGCCACAGAGTCTGATGGAAGGTAGTTAGTGAGCTGTCATGTTTATGAAGAGATGTAACCCTGCTGTTGCCTTCATATTAGTTGTTATCACCTTCGAAATGAAAGTATTGTAGGCTGAGAGCTTGCGTGTAGTTGTTCTGAGTGGTTTTGTGATAATATCTTTTAAGTAATAAACATATGCTTCGACAAAGTGCAACCAGAATTACTGCAGTCACAAGTAATGACATCTTTGGCTTAACCTGTCAGTGAGACACTTTACTGCTTGACTGTGGTGTGGCATTATTTCCTTTTTGTAGTAGAACTTTCTAGGAAACCTTAGTGATTCATAGTCATTGCAGAGAAATGGCAGGTGCCGCGGCAAATAAAACTATTTTTCTTCCTTAGCTTTATGAAATTATTTCTTTCTCATTAAGCTGCCAGAGAACAGTAATTATGGAAATGTTAAACTGAACATCCTTTACATGCTATTTTTGTAAAAGCAACAAATGGTTTAAAAGCAACTGTTTTATTCGTGTACTGTTTTACTTATTTGAAAATAATTCAGATATTCAGATGTAGATGCCTCTTGGAATGGAGTTGCAGGTCACAGTGGCTCAAGAAATTTTATGTTGACAATGCATAGTGACTAAGTGACAAATAATGTTTGAAATGCACAGTGTATTTACTGGATTTTATTAAAGACAGCTGAAGGACAGCTTTACATTAGAAAGGTCCTATATCTAAGATTAAACAATTTTTCCCCCTCCTTAACAGCAAATGGCATCTTTAGTGACTGAGCACATGGAATCTTACGGCACAAAATTTTTAAAGAGGTGTTTCCCAACCAAAGTTGAAAAATTGGAGAGCAACAGATTGCAAGTCACCTGGAAAAATACTGACCTGGGCACAGAAGAAACTGATTCCTTTGATACAGTGATGTGGGCAGTAGGTAAACTTGGTTATGTTAACTTCTCTTTGCAATGGTTTTCATTCTGAAAATGAAGTTGCCTCATCATGTTGTATGGGACCGTAACAGCCCCTCCCTGTTTTAATATTAAATGGTTAGTGACCTAAACACTGATAGTTTTTTAATTCTTTTCTTGCATGCCTGAAAGTTTAAAAGAAATCTGTGACAAATGTGGCTATGAGCATAATCACCAGAAATGGGAATTACGTCTGCTTTTTGCCTCCTTTGAGCTAAATGCTGCTGCTTGTAAGGATTAACACACTGAGTGATGTATGGTACAATGCTCGAGCCCACAGGAACGAAAATACTCTTTCTGCATTGCCTCCCCAAGCTGCTTATTTGTTGCTGTTATGAGTTGTCCTTCAGTTCCTGTATTGGTTCAGATGGACTGCAAGCCCACCAGAACAGGAGAACTCTTGTCTTCTGTTCTTATAAAGCTCTGTGACTATCTGGAATTATTGATACATAATGGATGACTCAAAGTAGCAATGATATTTGGCAAGTAGATGGTATCTGTCAAACAAAGTTAATAGGCTTAAACTTACTGCCCAAGAAATATGTTTTGATGCAGAGGAGTGATCAGTTTTATTAACAGCTTTAGCAGTTCCTTTTACTACTTTGGTTTTATGTTGTTCTTTTTACCTGACACTACTGTTTTGGAGAAGTGGGGAAGCATTACTGTTTTTCATTTGTTGATAACAGATAAGGTTAAATTCTTGTGTTCATAATATAGATCCACTATAGGGAACAGGAACAGATCATTAACAGCGTTTTGTGTTTTGGCCAGTGGACTAAAATCAGTTGTCCTGCTGTTCCTTTCCCCTGTTTAAGCTAGCTCTCTATCTTTCTAGTATCCCGAGAAGAGAGCAGGTTGTGTGTTACGACAAACATTTTATTTTGCTGACTGTCATCACTATTCTCTTAGTTGCAATGGGTTTCTATAAATTGTGGAAACAGCCTATAATAATGGCTTATGCTCACCAGAACCAGTCAAAGACACTAGTGCTTGCCAAGAACAAAAAAGGTCATGCTATCTGGAGATGTGACAGTCCTGAAAACTGTAGAATAATATTCATGAAGTGAGAGGAAAATGTTTCCAAAAGGTACATTTCTAAATGCCATATTTGAATTTTTAGGGTTTTTTTTTCTCAAGCTTTCTGGTAAAAGTACACTGAGGTAGAGTCACACCTGTGAAATGTCAGTTCAATTTGTTTACTTCTGTCAAAAATAGAGAAAAGAGCTATTATTTCAAATAAAAAAAACCTAACACCTTAGTTTAGTGTTAATTATCCTGGAATAAGGTTCATAAATGTACTATTGCAACTCATTTGTAATGTGACTCCACCCGCTATTTTGATACAGAGAAACTCCATGTATTTTAAATTTTGTCATAGATTTTGGTTACAATCTTTTTAGGAACTGCAGAATGAACGGTTTGAGGGTTTGGGTTTTTTGTCTTGAGTTGTTATTTAGTGTTCAAGTTGGCACCCCACCCTTAAGCATTAAACACATTAACAGTTAAAACTGGTTAATTGATGTGCAGTCGGTATGATTCATTGTTTTGCTCTGTATCAACACACCCACACCAGGTGTCTCGGATAATAGGCTGGGAAACTTGGTAGTGTTGAGGATTTCCTGTCTGCAGATGTGCCAGTTACAATACTGATTGAAGAAAGTCAGCTTGTAGTGCTGGTTAAAAAGCAGCCGCTATTGTTAACTAATTGTAGCCTGAGTTATAATAGATATTTCCTTCATTTTTTTAAGTGTGTTGTGGAATTTTAGTAGGATTTTATGAATAATGTTACAAGTATTTACTGACAGTGGGACATAGTTTGAGTTTGGTAAACTACAGCATTATCTCTTAATGTAAACCTCTTGAAAAAAATTTCCATTCTGTTTCTATGAAGTTTTATTTATCTTTGGAATGTGTAATTTTATGCTTGCATAAAATCACATCAGTAAAACAGCTCTTTCTTGACCTTTATTTGCTTCTAGACAGATCTAGTCCTGTAATATCCTTGTGTCTTTTACTAGTGCTTCTGCCTTTGGAGAATTCTCCTGAAATGATAAGCTTTTGAGTTTTATTTTTTGTTGTTGTTTTTTTTTCATTCAATGTGGAACCAATAAACTTTTAATATTATATAGTATTCTCCCTGCCCTTAAGGACACACAAAAAATGTGTATGTTAGGTGCCTAATATACCTGGGCTACAACACAATGGTAAGTGTGAGCATGTACAGATTGAACATAGGGTCTTCGCCTCAAAAGGATAGAGATTAACATATTTATAAACATGCAACTGCTGAGCTGCAGGGCAAAGTTGCAGGAGAACAGGCTTTGTAGAGTGAGTTTGTTTCCGCTAGTGGAGCACTGAAACCTGTGTTAGAACAAGGGGAAACGGCACCAAGCTGTGCCAGGGGAGGTTCAGGTTAGAGATAAGGAGGAAGTTCTTTACTGAGAGGGTCGTCAGAAGCTGGAACAGGCTGCCCAGGGAGGTGGTGGAGTCACCATCCCTGGATGGATTTAAAGAGCGGGTAGATGAGGTACTTAAGGATATGGTTTAGGGGGTAGACAGGAACGGTTGGACGTGATGATCTCAGAGGGCTTTTCCAACCGAGCCATTCTGTGTGTGAATGCTGCAGTTGCAACATAGCTCATCTATGAAAGGAATTGGCAAGTAGTATTTCCGTTTGAATTTGCAATGGGTGGCAGAAGATCACTGCTGTAACTGGAATTTGATTATTCACAAAGTCATTAGAAAAGATACCGTGTTACTACATATCTAATGGAGTCTTACTGTGTAAAGGAGCAACATTAACTTGATGATTAAGCAGGCATTTACAAAGTATCCTGGAATTAGTGTGACAAAGTGAATGTGCTAGCGAATTGTTAACAGAAAGAGCAATGACCAGCAACAGATTTTAAGTTTAGCTTTACAAAAAGAGTTTACTCTCTGATGAGAGCAGTGGAACAACCATTCTCAAGTTCCTTTGCATTCATGAGCTTAGAGGAAAGCCCTGTGCCTTTCAGATAGTATCATGTTTACTGTTGCTTTAGCTCAGTGTACAACTGAACAGGTATCAGGCATTGCACATCGTATGCTATAAAGCACATATTGTCCTTTGTGACACACTGCGTGCTTGGCAGATTTATTTTGTAGTGCAGTAAAATAAGATCCTCGCTGTTCAGTATGAAGAAAGAGTTAAGTACATAAATTTTTTTTATAGTAGTTTTCTTCAAGTCTTAAAAGCAAACCGGTCTGGATTAACTAAGAAAACAGAAATTTTGTTTGGAGATTTTCTTTGAAATGTTTCATATGGCAAAATATCGCTGTCATCTCCTGTGAGCATATCTCTGCCAGCCCCTACAGAAATGGGGATAGGCTTTAGGTTCATCTTTACAAAGTCTTACCATCCAATTTTTTAACCTTTGAACTATGCAAAGAAAAATAATGCACCATGGTTGATCTCAGAAAACTGTTAGTGCTAATGTGATGTGGTTTGCTGAGGCTCTGTGTCTTTGTTCTCAACTTGCCGTGTCTCTTTCTCATTAATTTTCATTCATTACTGTCTTGGTAAGATGTGGTTTCTGCAGTCCTAAGGAAAATTGTCATTCCCATTACATCAGCCAGTGCTCTTAGTTTTTTTCCCAATATCTAGTTTTAATGCCATTCAGTCGCTCTTTATTCAGCAGGGCTATTTTTAATGTGCCTAGTGATTTGTTTGCATTGAAAGGGACCCAGATGGTACTTTTTCCTTTTTTGTTTAATCTACCCATAAAATTTGAGTGTAGTTCTTACTTTATGCTACTTGTTTTACCAGCTTGTAACTACAAAAAACGCTTCTTCGTGTTGAGGAAAAGTTAGATGCTAGGCTATGCCTCTAATTGCGTGTGAGAGAACTTTTGGATTCAGAAGTATAAGGTGCAATTTGAGTTTGTTAGGTGATGGCTAGCCTTTATCTGAATGGTGGTATAAATAAGTTTTAAAGTGGTGGAAAATGCTCCAAAGTAATTTCATGAAACCGGTATAATTAGTGTGACATTTTCTACCGAATACAGGTTCTGTCTACCTGCAGGTGTCTAAGAGATTGAAGCCAATGACCTCACTTGAGAGTGGTGGTTGTGTACTGGTACTAGAGACTGCAAAGCCACCCTTTAAGGGTGTAGAAAATCTTTGGTTAAAGCAAGCTTAGTGTGGAAAAATTAAGGTAAAGGTGAACCGTAGCTTTCTTCTCAGAAAACGTTTCCAGCCCAGTTTACCTTTTACAGGACCTTGAGAACAGAACAAATAGAATTGTTAAAAGTCTGGCCTATGCTGTAGGGTTTTCATTTGGTTGCATGTCACTTGGATTTGCATGTTGTTGTTGTTGTTGTTTGACATGTCTCCAGACACAAGTAACTCCAGATGTACAGTGGACAGTGATGCCCAGGTGTTTACTGCTTGCACCATGACCGCCACAAGCTTTCTGCTGAGGTAGGTCCTCTGTGCCGTAAGTATTACGAGTCAATGCTACAAGAAACAGCACAGCTCAGCAGACTTGGCAAAGAGCTGGTTACTGCTCTAGCACTGACTAAGGGTCAGATTTTTTTCAATTTGTGGCAGGCATGCTGAAAGTTTATCAGTAATGAACGAAATGTTCAAAAGCGTCCTTGTAAAATTGGTGCATGCTGCTATCAATGTGGTAAGGGTGCTGAACTTTGGTTAACTTAATCTTACTGTAGTCAATTTTTCCTTGTAATCTGAACATTAGTTGCACTAATTTGGTCTTTATTAGTCATTATCAGGTGGCTATGTTTTAGTGAACGTCTCGTGGATTTTGAGGAGGGATTTGAGGGAGGAAAGGGTATTGGTCTTGAAACTTAATTGGAGAGTGTGTCAGGCACCCAGAACAAGATAAGAGAGAGTACCAAGACTGGGAACACAGATGAGATTTTGGTTGAGGTCAGACTGAAGTTGGACTGAGTAGAATTATGAATTGATATGTCAAAAT